GTAAGTTTTGATTTGATGAGTATGCTGATGAAGCTCTTTCCCTTGAGTGATGGTTTTCTTGGGTGGGTTTCCCATGCTTGTTTAGGCATATATCAATTGACACTGTAGCTGCACCATATGGGTGGGTTTCCCATGCTTGGTATGGGGGATTTGGAGGGGAGGGATTTTGCTCCCCTCCCCTTGTTTGGATTGAACAAATTTTTAGGAGGGGAGAAAATTTTCCCTCCTCTTCTGATTAGACTGAATTCCAATGCCTTGGGAGTCAAGATCATAAATTAACTAAGGATTGCACTATAGTGGCACAACTTCGGGTCATTTCACTCACGGAGCCTTAATCGAATCCTAATAGCTAAGGGTGTGTTTGGCTTAATAGAGGGGACTAGAGGGGAGGGATTTTAATGGTGGGAAAAGAGATGAAAGGAAGAGGAGGGATTTTAATATTATCTTATTTGCATTAATATGAGGGGAGGGGAGGGGAGGAATTTTAATGTTACTTTATTTGGTTTAGGAAGGGAGGGGAGGCAAAACATTTTTGTATAGACAACTTTGCGTTTATATTATTTTTTAGGTTATTTTTACAAACTTTATAGAGTAATTAATAAAATATAATTATAAATAACATTTAATACATAACATCAACTTTTTATAATTAGCAAAATTAAATAAATATAATGATAATACATAATTAATAGCTACTATATATTCAATAACTATAATTGTATTTATATTGAAAATCTAGTTTAATGAAGTAAAGATGTTTAATTTGAGTATGTTTTTCTAGCTTTCATTTTACCCGGTGCTATTGGTACGAGTAGTCAAATAACTTTTTCAAAGACACCATAGATGACTTATTGTTTTGAGTGCTTGATTTGTGTTTGGAAATTAAAATATATTTGATAACAACTTTTTTTTTTTTAAAAATATTTGATAGCATATAAATTAAGGAGGATAGGCATGATTGAATCCACAAGTATACCAAATTACATACAATTCGGCACCGAAAGGTAACATGGAATTATTAGAAAATAGTAGAGGCATATTAGTCAATACAAGCTAAAATATTACCCTCTCGGGAGGGAAATTTTTTTAACATTTTTCCTTCCTTCTTAAAATTTTTATGTTGCCAAAGAAGGAAAAATGGTTAAAATCCTTTCTTCTCCCTTCCCTCCTCTCCAAATCCTTCATACCAAACGCACTGTAAATGTCTAAGAAAACTTGTAAAATTGGGATTTAGTTGTTGAAAATCATGTTGAGCAAAGTGAAGAAGTAATGCAAAGGAAATACTTGTTTTTTGAGGTTTTTGTTATAAAAGTAGTGAAATGGAATTATTTGGATTAAGGGCTTCAATAAAAGTGTCTTTGGCAATGGGGATTGAGCTATCCTTACTCTTTCAAAATATTTGGGAGTTTAAAGCCACTAAGTCTTAATTAGAACCCTAAATAATCATTTAGATCCAATGCTTGAATTAGTAAAAATCACTTTGATCAAAATGAATTAACACTTTTCAAAACACTGTTGAAAAACCACTTCCACTTAGTGTGTAAATGAAGGGAATGATGCAATACTCTCTCTTGGTTACCAATCAGCACATAAGAGTCAATGGCAATCAATCAACTAACAATAATCATTTCAAATCAATCAAAAGCCAAGGGTTAAGAAAGATATAGCTATATATAAATCAGAAACACATTACATCATTCAGTTCAAATACAAGTAAATCAATCACAAGGAAAAACTTATCAGTTATCCAAGGTAGTGAATATGACATTCAACCCTAAATCTAGAGGTCCAAACACATATAACTATAAAGATTGAAATAAGAAACTCCCCAATATAGCCCATGAGCACAAGCTTGTATCCCCGTCATCAAAGAGCACCAACTTCAGCTACTCATAGTTCCAATCTTGCTCCAATCGGTTTTAGCCCTCTTGGTAGCCATGAAAGATGAAATGGGTGTGGAAAGGTGGTGTAGAGATGGAATGGTGAAGAATAACAGTTTTAGAAATGGCAAATTGGTGATGAAATGAGGTAAAAATGAAGAATTTGTGGTTGGGAATGGTGGAGAGTTGAGAGGAAATGAGTAAGACTAATTCTGCATGAGGAATGGTGGCTGCTTGCCTCAATTCGAGCCCTTAACCTAATTTAGAAGCCCCTAAAGTCAGATAAATGAAACTCTGCGTTTTGAAACAGATTCTTTGCCACAGCAAAGAGGTATGGAGAAGCATTGTTGAGAACTCGAGGGCTTTGTTGCGGCGAGACAACTCTTGTGCCATGGCTGTGGGACACAGTGAAGCTGATTCCTTCAAGTTCTTTTCTTGACTTGGATTCTTACATCCTTCTTCACTTTAAGCTCCCTAAGGTGCTTTTCAAGGCTCTTCGACTCCTTTGGTTTTCCAGATCCCTTCATTTATCTACAATATCAATATAGTTTCTTATAATATCTAGTTTCTCATGATCCAAGGTAAATGAAAATCAGTTAGAAGTCATTAAAAAAACTTTGAAAAAGCATGAATTAAATGCAAAAGGACAGTGATAAAACTTGGCTCGAAGATAAGCAAGAAGCGTGTGAAAACACTTCAAGAGCTTTAAAAATAGCTCAAGAAAGAGTGTAAAAATTGGAGCGATTTGGAGGGAAGGAATAATATTTTGGATTGTTATTACTACTATACTAGTGTTTAATATTCCTAAATTATCCATCTAGTCTTGTTTCGGAAAAAAAAAAAAGCAGAAAAGCCACAATAAGTCCCACATGAAATTTTGTAGGGAAAATTAAATTCAAGTCTCAGGTAAGAGAAATTATTACTACGAGGTCCCATGAAATCACCAATTAAATCTGAAGTCTCAAGGGATTTGTGGGTAAAAGAATCTAATTGTGAAATTACCAAGCTACTCTCACTGATTAGTTTAGTTGTTAATGCGTGCTGTGATAGTTGTTAATATAACTAGTTTAATTGTTAATGACAAGTGTGTGGTATAGGTGGATATTAGTTGTTAATACATGCCACGGTAGTTATTAATATAACTCTTTTAGTTGTCAGTGACAAGTGTGTAGTGCAGGTGGACATTATTTGTTAATACATGCTGTGATAGCTGTTAATATAACTCATTTAGTTGTCACTGACAAGTGTGTGGTATAGGTGGATATTATTTGTTAATAAGTGCTGTGATAGTTGTTAATATAACTCTTTTAGTTGTCAATGACAAGTATAAGGTGCAAGTGGACATTAGTTTTTTTTTTTTTTTAAATTAGTTGTTAACACATACTGTAATAGTTGTTAATATAACTAGTTTAGAGCAACAGAGTGTGGAGCAGAGAGTGACAAAGCGTGGAGCAGAGAGTGATAGCGGGTAGAGTGTTTCGCAAAGACAACATATGGTTTAGGGTTTAATCAAAAGGGCAAGAAGGTAATTGAAAATTTTAATTTTTTTGCTATAAAGTCCCTTGGGACATTAGATATATTTAATGATTTTAAAGGACCTTAAAATAATAAAATGTCTTGCTTGGGACCTGTGTAATTTTCCCACTCTTGTACTCTAGATTTGTGGGGCAAGAATATTGATTTCCTAAATCGAATGTTAATACATTGATTTAGCCTCTGATGATTTTTTGAATTTGTACTTTTTTTTATAAGTGAATCTGCACCGCTATAGTAATATGAATTCTAATTTTCTTGGCTCCTAATTATTAATTTTGGATATAGATATATAAGTATTATAATAATTATAATCATAATTATTGAATATATATTATTGTGTGTATATATATAGCAACTATTTTGTATAAATATCATTTATAATTATATTGTATTAAATACTTATAAAATTCAAAAAAATTAATTAAAATAAGGACAAAGTTGTCTATATAAAAATATTTTCCCTCCCCTTTCCTCCTAAACCAAACAAGGTAACATTAAAATCCCTTCCTTCCCCTTCCTTTTCATCAAGCCAAACAAGGTGATATTTAAATCTCTACCCTCTCTTCTCCTCGTCTCTCCTCCAATAAAATTTCTCCCATCCCTCTTCTTCCTTGAGCCAAACACTAAGAGAAAAAAGGGATGTGATACGGCGGTTGCAATGAGTATGGAAAAGTTCAGCCATCAATGATGTTGGTTCGTTAGGCACAGTTCTATGATGGAGTCTTGAATTATAGAGCCAAAAGTAATTCTTGTACTTAAGTGGCGTGATTCATTTTACAAATTGTTTTTTAACAATGGGTTCACCATTCTTTCTTAAGGCCTCCTTCGCTTTCTGTCTACTATCACCCATTTTTTATCCCCATTTTCTAACCAACTTCTTTTAGATTCTCCTAATAAAGCTTTCATTTGTCTCCACTGCCCTAAACTTTGTACAATCTCATCGTTCTGCTTTTCATTGAACATTCTAATCGTGAGGATTTATCTAGTTTTCACAGAAGGCCAAACTCTAGGTCAATGCAAAATTAATTTTTTAGGAAGTTTTATGAGCAAAATGGGAAATGATAGATGTTAGACTAAATGGTAATGAGTAATGACTTATAGTTCAATATATAAAACCTGGTCCAAATTTTGAGTTGCCAAGTTAAAATATCAAAAGAAGTTGCCTTTTTTCCCTTAAAATAGCTTTCTCGTAACTTGAGGAGGTATCTCTTTAATTGATAACGGTGTAATTGGAATGCTTGGATATCTTTGGACAGATAAACCAATTTAACAACTCTTTTTAATCTATGTGAAAAGTGTCGAAAGCATCTCATATAAGGGACAAGAGGGATTTTTTTTTTTTTTAATACACATGTTAGAGTTAATTTAAGAGTGGGAGTGATGTTGAAGTAATGTACTTATTTATTTTTATCCCTTAAATTTTTGTAATGGCTGGTGATTATTTGGTTAACTTCTTCAATTTTGATTTGATATGGATTTGTCACATTTTATTATAAAGAATTATTTGTTTGAAAACATATCTGTATGGTAGAGTTTTTGTATATGATATAGTTCTTCCTTTGTTGTATCTGATTATTCTTACAGATAGCTGCATATGTCTCTGCTCTCCGTTCTCAAGTGGACTGCATTGAGATTGATGTATCTCGTTCTTCTGATGGAGTTTTGTTTGCTCTCCATGATAGGTACTTTGGCTTATAAGTTTCTTATAGGAATTAGTCACAACAATCCTTAAATTGCCAAAACTAGTTATAGATCCTTCTCAGCGTAGGCCAAAAAAAAATAAAAAATAAAAAATCTCACTGAATATTTTCTGATGCATTTCACTGGATTTATTTGAGGTTTGGAGTCCCAGATTTGAAATGCTATATCACTGTTATCGACATCACGTCTATTAAATACAAATTTATGGACTACTATATTTTTTGTCAACTGTATGAAAATTATAATTTTGCACTTCTCTGATATTATTCTTATTAGTTCATTTTGGGATCTGCTAAATATTAATGGGCTTATCAGCTTCATGTCATTGCCTCTAAAGTTAGCTTTATGGCTAGAGAGATATTTATTCTTGCTTGATGCAGTCAGGGATTTGCAGCGGATGTCAAGAAACACTACATCTAAGGTTGGGCACTTAAGTGCAAATCAGGTTAGACTAGCTAATTTTGTTTATTAACAACCGATGAGAGGTGTCCCGTAAGGATTGTTGTGGGTCACTGATGGGCTGATCTTTTATATTCCCCCCCTCCACAAAAAAAAAGAAAAAAAGTTTCATACTAGATGAGTCTTTGTTTTTATTTACCTTCATGTTTGTTTCTTTTTTATGGTGATTGTTTGGACCTTTTGTGGCCTACGTTCTCCTATAAATTGTAACAATTGTGTTTGAAATAAAAAGGGAAATTTTTATCAGCACTCTGGTAGGGTGGGGAATCTCTCCTAAAATCTGGCTATTGATATAGAAGAATCAACCCACATAAATATCTCAGAGAGCTCCCAATGTGGAATTCAGGAATTCAGGCCTCCCATACTATCTTAGCTTTCATTAATTGGCTCCCATACACGCTACAATTCACTCAACTTCCTCATTGGTTAGAATCTGATGGGTGAGAGAGCCCCGTTTGGCTTATGTTAGGAAACATACTAAGGGTAATTAAGGCATTTTATACATGATAGTTGGAGGAAAGAGAGTGGGCTTGTGAGAATGTGAGATAGGCATGATTTTGGGAAGTTTCTTTATAGAGCCTGTCTCTCGAATACACAGGGATATTGCAGCAGGGATTGTCTTTCTCTTTTGTAGATTCCCTTCCCATTAGACCTACACTCTTGGGGATGTGATTTTAACTATTGGATAATACTATCTAGGGTTGTGTTCCATCCGAATCCTTGGTATGTAGCTCTTTTTAGAATTATTGATTACCAGCTTTGATGCTGATAGGTCTGGACCTCGTAATGTACCAATTGGTGGGCCTGAGATGTCAGCCAAGTTTATAGTAGGAAGAAAAAGACAAACAAGAGTAGTGAGCAGGCAGAAAAGGGGGAGCAATGTAACGAACATATAGTGATGTGGATGTGGGGATGGCAAAATAGTTAGGGAAGTGTTGGCCTCTCAAATGCTAAAGGGAGGGTGAGATCTGCCTGTGAGGTTTCATTGTACCTCTTGTCACTTGTTTTGGGTTTTCATTGTGGTAGGCAGCTAAGCTGTGTTTCCTTCATTAAACGTTGTCAATCTCCCAATGAGGTTTCTGGTTTAAGCAGAATTTTATCCTTAATATTTTATAGCTGATGATAATACATCAGTTAAGCTTCCATCAGATACCAACATGCGGGTACTCCAGTAGGATAGGAAATTCTCTCTTGAGAGCTACACCTCTTAAGGTTGGAGAACCAATGTACTTAAATACTCTATAGAGCATCCATACAATTGATGTAGGATATAGACATCTCATACTAACTTAGAGCCCGTTTCGTTCAATTCTATTGCATATATGCAATGGTAATCCTTATTGCATTGGTATAAATGACACGTTTGGTTGGGCGTAATGCTGGTAAAGGAGATTGCACTGGTAATAAAAATTGCACCTTTTTTTTTTGGGGGGTAATATCTATTCCTAATGGGGACCCTATGAATGATCATCACAGGGCTGCAATTCCTCATAAAATGTCCATTTTATCCTCAATAACTCGTGAAAAGACATCATTTGCCCTCAACATTTCTCCTTTGCATCCCTTTCTCTCCAAACCCCTCCTTTGTCTATTTCCATCTCCATTCGTTGTCTCCTTCCTTCCATTCATTGTATTACTTGGGTTCCCCTTTACTTTTTTTTTTTTTTTGGTCTTATTTTTCCACTTGTTTGAAGCAATCGCTGATGAGATTGCATCAGCAATTTTCAAATGGAAGTCGCAACCTGTGTCAAAAATCCTAAACTGTTTATCGCAGGTTTCGTACCAGAATGGTAATTGATATTAGAGATTGACACATTAAAATCGATGATGAACCTTTAGAAATTAAAATCAAGGATGAACCCTTAGAATAATCCTCCTCCTTTTGCAAAGCTATACAGAACATGCCATGTTGACCCAGTTACTCTATGAAAGCTCTTTATGCTCCAAGGTCGGGTTCAGGGTGGCTAATCTCAATCCTTGAAGCCGCATCAGAGGAGAAACCGTTTAGTGGAAACAAGATCCATGTGGCTTATTTCAGCATTAGAAAGGGAAGTCATTACATGAATCTTCCCAATATATTGACCACACGACAGAATGGGAAGCCAGCAACTGGGAAGATCCCTAGTGTTGCTGAAAACGGTGTGGAAGAGGGATTGAAGATGGCTCTTGGGCGATATGCTAAGTTTTTCTTTGCTTTTTTATTGAGGGCAATATAGGCTTTTCATTATTATTTTTATCTGGTTAAATTTAAAAAGATAATTTTTTGACTGATCTTCTTAATAAGCTACCAAACACATTAATGGTAATAAAGATTGCATTGCATTTCATTGTAATGCATTGCATAACCATATCTAAGGACCAAGGAATTGAACCAAGTGGGCCCTTAGTATATGAAAATTCTATAGCAAGATATTAATCACCTAAAATAATCGTTTAATTTGAATCTGTTAGTTTGATCAACCATTGTCTACAAAATAAAATGAATGCTGAAATTACTGATTTTGTCACCTTTTGGCTTAGTAGTTTAATTGGCCAGGATCTAGTGGTATGATGTAAAGACACTATTGCATCATCTCTTGTAGCCAATGGGCCTTCATTTTTCATGAATCTTGTACTAGGTCATTTTATGCCAAAGTCTCTATTAATTGATATTACATTCTGAAGTTCTTTGCTTTTTCTCTTAATAAGAAATTGTTTGTAGGTTTGCTAAGAGTAACATCGACTAAGATTCTGTTCAGCTTGTTTCTGCAGATAAGGGAGCTTAGTGCTTTGAATCAATCTGTGGACAAGTTGAACGATGAAGGTATAGCTACCATTGAAGAGGCACTGAAGGTATTATTACAGGATTGAAAAAATTGAATATTCCTGCTCAGCCTCCCTTTGTTTTGCTTACCTCTTTGAATTGTGGTCAATTGCTATAGTTATTCATTGCCTTTTCTTGTTTTACATTTTATTTTTCCTATAATACTTTTAGGCTAGTCTCTTACTATTATTTTATTGTCTTAGTCGATTGCTAATTCAGTAAGGCAGATAATCCTAGATGCGAAGGTTGGACCACCATTGTACGAAAATGGGCTTGCCAGAGACATTCTTTCTGCTGTAAGTATGTAATGCTCCTTTCCTAGACCCTAGGCATCCATATTTCATAATTTGTAATTTTCTAGTTGTTGTTTGGCCTATCATTTTGCTATCTGGTCCTAAGTTTGTCAATGAGTTGGTGGCCTGTCAAAAGTATGTATAGTTGACATGATGGGGATTCCCATGAAAAGACAGAGTTTGAGTGTTGACTTTTGATCTCTTATTCATTTGAAATTTAATTTCCTTTCCAATTTGTTTTGACTACAAGAATTTTAAAAATTATCTGCTTGTCTTATTGGATTTTCTGCTAGTCATGTGTTTTCTTGCTATCAATCTTTATAGGATGATGTATGTAGTATGAAGAACTCTAGTGATTCTGAACTTCACTTTTATTCAAATGAGGTGCTGGTTATAAATAGAGTACAGAAACCCTAATAGATGAGAGTGATAAGCCGAAATCCTAGTGATTGACCTAGATCCTAGGAAATACAGATTCAAATAATAAAGATGAAATCAGAATAATATCCCTAGATACTAGATTACATCATAGATTTAAATTTCAAATCAACGCTAATTAGGGTTAGGGTTTTTAGGCCCATGGCCCAATTCCTCTTTCGCTGCCAACATAGTATATTGATGTGGTTGGTTAAATCTTCTTTTCTTCCTCACACGCAACTCCTCATGAGAAAGAAAAGAAGATACTGATATTACTAAATTGATGAAGCGTAGGTTATAGCATAGACTTGAACTCTCATGTTAATATGTTAGAGCTTAAAAGTTGATCAAAATCCGTTTTCCGCACCCCTTGAAATCATGTAGTAGTCTGCAAGCATCACAAATACGTGAATCCAATTGAAATAGACAACACCCCTTAGAAATTTGACAATATACTTTTAATTATCTTTCTATTTGCCCAGTAAGGTAATCTCAAGTCTGAAATACATCGTTTCAGGTGGAAAGGACGGACTGTGGAAACTGCCTTGTATGGGCTAAAAGTGATAGTTTGGCGAGGGATGTGATTAAACTGTCATCAGATATCACAGTAAGAAGCAATTGAAAATGCTTGCCTGTTTGGTTATCTTGTGAGATGACTGTTTTCTCTTGTTTCTTCTTAATTCTCATTTGCATCTCACCTGGCATGGGAAAAGGAATGTTGGGCTATTTCCTATTTAAATTATTTATGATTTATAGGGTTGCATAAACATAAAAGATTAATCCTGGGATTCTTGTGTGCCACTTTTGGCATCTATAACTTTTGTCATCAACTTAGAAAAATGAAAGGACAAGGTCTATTTCTGATCTCAGTATGCCTTCACAATCAAATAGCAGCATTCTTGTTGATCACTTCACTAAGGCATGCTGGTTTTCTGTTATCTTACTGGTCACTTTAACGATTGCAAAATCAGACCAGATAGCACTTACTGGAGATTAAATCATAGTGGAACTGTGAATTTTACCTCTTGGTTTCGTCATCCACTATAATTTCCTTGTATGTTTTTCTGTCATAATGCAGGTAGGCTACATTGTTATGATAGACCCATCTACTGGGGCTAGAAGAAATTTGTTGAGGATTAAAGATGCTGAGGTTGTTGGTGTCTATCATCCATTGATTGATGATAAGCTTGTTAAAGTCTTGCACAGGTGTGAATTTCATGTAAAGCATCTGTGAATTAGCTTGGTAAACGAAGCGTGCATGTGTGATGATCAATTTTTGCTTGGTGATTACAGGAGAAAAAAAAGGGTATATGCCTGGACAGTTGATGATGAAGAATCCATGCAAAAGATGTTGTCTGAGCATGTTGATGCTATTGTTACGAGCTATCCAACTTTACTCCAACGTGTGATGCAAGATACTAGAACTCGATGTCTCGTAGAAGGTTATTCATGATCAAATTAATATTTAATTCAATACACTTATCTTAGAATACCTACTTTCTGCTGCAAATATCAAAACTGATATGTACACATCCATTCTTCTTTTGGCTGCCTCAAGTGAATCTTACAAAAACAGAAGAATATCCCATGCGTTGGATTGTTAACAAATTACTTCAGTACTGAACATTATATGTTATTGGTCAATAAGGTACTAGCTGCATAACGGAGTCTTCAGGATGTTCTAGTATATGATCAAGCAACAATTCTCCATTTACATGAAGATTGGTTAACATCCAACTCGGCAATTTGATGAATATGGATGTTTTTGTGTTTGAAAGTTTTGGAATTTGGACCGTTGTGTGCTTTCCCTCTTTGTATGGATTCATAATGACTAGTTAGTATGGATTCCACCAAGGAATTTTTCTGGCGCGATGGCCTTGCGTGCCTTGTCATAATGATTCGGGTATATTGGAGCTACTATTAAGATATTAAAGCACCAAATGGTGCCAGCTAAGAAGAGAATAGATAATTCATTCGAGAAAATCGAAGTGAAATAGATACAACTAGCAGTATCGTCTCTTTTCTAACTGATTCTAATGACAATACTTCCTTTAACAGCTTGTCACAAAAATCTCTTGCCATATATTTTCATATATCAAAATAGGGTTGAAGTGTAAACCTGTCTTAAAAGGTTGAAGGTTTCACTCAGGTGGGCACTTTGAAGTTCTTTTGGGATGCAAGTTTGTCTTGAAATTTAAAATTAGAGCACTCTCTACGGATAGAAAAATAACGTTGACTGTTAAGATAGTGATATTGACTACTAACATTTTAGATGGAAATATCATTATGATTTAAACTTTCAGGACAAATTTGTATGTTACAAAAAATTTTTGGGTGCCAACTGAACTTAAGTGAAAATTTTTAGGGATAAATTTACACCTTATCCCATCAAAATATCATGGTACTCTTCCGATCCTAAATATAAGACTCATTTTGTAGTACAAATTGCACTGCAAAATGGGTTTTATATTTAGAATTAGGGGAGTATAATATAGGTAGAGAAGAAAATAGATGATTCATTCCACAAAACGGAAAGAGAAACATCTATAGCATATATATCCCCTTTGTCTAGACTCGTCGCTAGCCTGGTGATGTTTAGCTATCTTTTAGACTCAAAAATCCTTGTTAGAGATATCACTGATGCTAAGACAAAAATAGAAGGATTAAGGTGCAAATTCGGAAGTTTTCATTTAGCAGCATTGGGCATTCAGAAGTTTAAAAGAGTAGTAATATTTTCTCTTATCGTTAAATATATTAATAGTCAATATTATTATTTTAACGTTCAATGTTAGTTTTTTTTTTAATAGCATGTCAATGTTAGTTTTTTTTAACAGTAGGGAAAAATATTGCTACAATTTTAAACGTTCGGAGCAAATTTGTACCTTAACCCAAAATAGAAAGTTGCTTTTGGAAAGTTGATTTTAAACTAAGTTTCCCAACACCATTTTCTCCAAGAATAACCAAAGTTAAGTTATCTGAATTTTGCAAAATTGAGCATTGTATCAAATAAGAGACAAAGATAGACAAGGCAGGTTTCCACTAGTTCTAGGCTTGATAAGTCACTTTCCTATCTTGTTTATCATCTGACAAATCCATTGCGATGAATAACTAAGCCTTCATTAGCTTCTGTAAATTATCAGCCAAGCTCTCCTATTCTTAACATATCCTTCCCATACTCCATCAACTAGGATATTGTTATCAAATTCAAAAGAGTCAAGGGTTATTCTTGTCCTAGAAGTATTGATAAAGAAGCTATGGGTATTCACAAGTTTTTGTTTTTGGGCTCAACGTCATTTCAGAAATATTAAAAAGAGAGCAATGTAGCCCTTTTTGTTAAAAGCTAATATTAACCATTAAAAAACTTACATTAACATTTTAACATTTTTAATGGACGAGGAAATATTACTCCTTTTTTAACACATTTGGGCGACATTGAGCCAAAAACATTCTGAATACTCAGCTCTTTTTGAAATGCTTTGAAAGTAGAAATGATGTTTAGCCCAATTTAAAATGCACCACTTTTATCATGGTTATCGCAAAATTGTCATCTTTAGTAACTTTATAGAAGCTTTATGTAACACCTTACGTTATGATCATATATGGAGCCAAAATATGTCAAATGGAACCATATTGCGTTACATTAGGCTTAGAAAATCATAGTTTGAAAAATTACTTTCTCGGGTAACTATTTATTTGGTAACCTTAGGATTTAGCTAATTTTGGAAATTTATAACTAAATCTAGAAAAATCGAAATAAGGTGCTTCCCAGTTCTATTTGAAGCTCTTTCCTTCCTCATGTAGGAAAAATACTCACTTGTCTATTACTCATCGGGCTCCATTTTTCTTGTAAAAGCCACTGTTTATTTGGTCAATTTTTAATTGCTAGCTTTTTATCATAACTTCAAAAATTCATAACTTTTATCGCATTGCTCCAAATTAGGTGATCTATTACTCCATTTAAAGTTTGGGATGTGAACTTTAAGCTCACCAAATCTCATAGTCAGATTCTATAACATTCCAAATTTTGGATTTAGAAATACCAGAATTAGCACAAACTGGGTAGGCTAGCATAGCCCTTTTGTAGGAGTTTCAGAGGTTCCCTAGAAAGAAGATAGGATTCTCAGGGACTAAACCGCAAAATAAGCATTTTCTAAAATAATGAGATAGGCAAGTTAGAGACTCTATGGAGTCTCTAGGGCTCGAGTATGGGAACTGGAGATGATTAAGGGCCAAAGGTTGTGCTGAAAACTTCAATAAGATGATTCCTAAAAAATGAGAAATGAGGTTTGGGGCCATATGAGGCTAAAAATGACAAAAGTACCCTTAGAGCAATTTGTTGAAATTCCCAAGGTTTGGCTAATTATAAATATCAGCCAAAATTGAATTATTTAATCAAATAATTGGAGAAAAAGGGAAAATAATGCTTGAGGAATTATCACAGGTTTTAAATATGATTTGAAGAGATTGACTTTAATAGAATTTAAAGCCTATCTGTACATTATCCGGGAAAAGTCAAAGTAGACCGTCTATGGGTTGATTTTTGATTTGAGAAAAATTAAAAAAGTTTCCCGTGATGAAAATGTAGTATTGGTATATAGAGACAGATTCTTAGAGTCATAGATTGGTAAAAAGAATTTGGTCAAGTTACTTCAAAATAAATATTATTAAATGTTTTAATAAAAGAAGAAAGGAAAGAGCATTCCTCCTTCTGTATGCATGTTATATAATGCTATGTGAAGTTATTTAGGATAAGAAAATGGTGCTAAAACATGTCCTTGGATTACTAGGTAAGTCAGGATTCAGAAAAGTATCCGATGCGGTGTAAAATTGTAAAATAGGTGGAGGAATAGTCAAGGGTAAGAGGGAGCACAAATTTCTCCCTATTTTAATGCAAAGTTGATGAAGGGACATAGATGGAATTGTATAATTCGTTAAGGGGCATGCTTGGAAGAAATAAAATTAGTTAATAAAAATTACTTCATAAGGACATGTGTAATAGGTGGAAGGACATGTGGCCAGATTTTAAGTGACAAGGCAAGGGATTTGAACACATGCAAGAGGCTTGAATAGATGGCAAGAGATCAAACCACAAAACCCTTGTAATTTTAAGCACCTTGGAGGGTGAAATCATAACCAATGAGTTTAGAATGAAAATTGTGTAGGGTACAAGTGAGAAAACAAGTTTGGAAGCACTGGAATTGAAAAAAAAATTCGAACCCTAAACCCTAAGCAATTCGACCAACTGGTTTGAGTAGGGAGGAGTTTGATTTTGATAATTTTAATCTTGGAAATAGATTTTACATGCAAAATTATGGGGAAAACGCATGTGAAATTAGTTTTAGAAAGATTAAAACTCAAGCTCAAAAGTTATAAATCAATGTGGTTTAAAGAGAGCAAAATGTTGATATTGATAGTGATTATTGTTAGAGTTCAAGGTTTTGATGATAACAAAAATAAGTTTTTAGTTTCTTTGCATACTTGTTAAGTTAATTGATCAAATGTTCGATCTCTGGTTAATTGAGCATGTGTTAGATAATTGATAGCTTATTTTGAACCAAAATCTGTTAAGTTTGATCGATAAAGTGTTAGATAATTCACTGTGATAGATAACTAGTTAGATAAATGTGTTGATCGATCATTGACAACACTGGGTGAATGTAAGGTATTTCAAGAACTTATCAATCACTGGATTGATAAATGGTTAATTGATAAGCTGTCAGGAAAAAGGTATGAGCCTCCTGATTTATAACAGAAGAATTTTTGATTATCTGATCGATCAAGTTATAATAATCGATAATGACTCAAATAATTGGTAAGTTCCCTTTACTTACTTACTACTTAAAATAATTTTTCAGATTATCAACCACTTTATCAATCATTGATTTATCAATAACTTGTTCCATCATTGTTTGACAATTCACTTCTAGTTAATTGATAATCTGTTCTGACAAAATCCTTCAGTGTTATATTGCAAAACAAAGTTCTTCACAGACATTGATCGATCAGTAGTTTATCGATCATCAACCTCTCACTACACACTTTTCATCAAGTCTTTTTGAACTATTTTTAGATAACTTGTTCGATTAAACCTTTATCGATCAAGTGTCAGATCATTAAGCTTAAAGGTTGTTTTCCACTATAACTTGAAATTATCGATGAGATGTTTGAGCAAGTGATTATCGATCATGTATTCGATCAATGCACCATTTCTTCTCTCAAACAGTTCTTCATGATGATCTTTTATAAAACATACTTTCATTTTATCGTCAATCTTTTCTCAGCCTTCTTTGATCATATAATTCTCTGTTGGAAAGATACGAAGGCATGCAAATTTAGAGGAAATAAACTTTGTACAAAACTCAAAAGTATTTCCATTTATAAAATAACTTTAATTATATTTCACCATTTATCGATCACTTGTTCTATCATTGTTTAATCTATAATTTACTCGCTAAATGCATACACCTATTAAGTCTACTTCTTTGTAATTAATTGATAATATGATTGATTAAGGGGTTATCGATTAAGACATTGATCAAGTAAGTTCATTTTACTTTCCCACTGTCTAATGATTGGTTTTATGTTTTTCATCTGTTGTATCAATATCAAGAATAATCACCTTTTCTATTATTGATTTATATTTACTTGAAAAAGAAAGCTTACTTGTGCCAAGAGACTTCTGCAGATTACAAAGCATAACGGATATATTATAGCCCTTAACCTGTTGTGTCAGAAGCATTAATGGTGAGCAATTGTTGTAGCTGGCGAACACACGCAAGCGATCTTCTAACA